TTTTGCACAGCTGGCCCCTGCAGGGCATCACACCCACATCAGAGAGATGTCGGTGACCTCTGCGGGTCAAGCCTTGCACCAGTGTTTGGGACAGGGATTACTGATTTTAAAGGCTAAATTTAATGTACAGCAGCAGAGACTGGTTCAGAATGAAGAACTGAGCCAGTAATCACTTGTGCATCTTGTATTTCAGAGGGTTTTTTTTTTTTTTGGACAAATGAATGAACACCCATATTTCAAGGTCTTGTTTTATTGAGTAATGGTTGCAACGGCTGGTCTTATTTGTAGTATATCATAAAAATCTATAAAACAAACACAATAGCTCCAAACACTGCAATAGGTTATGCACCATCTCATAATTTATTATAATACAAACAAGTCTGTCAAACACAATATATTGTCTACTTATGAAAATATCAATATTCACAATTTAAATAGGTGATAGGTCTCATAATTTTATATACCAGCAACTCATCTAAAAAGTATTTTGTTCCTAGCTGTGGTCTTCAAGGACATACACCTGTAAGTAATTGTAAGACGGTCCATTCACAGCTTATTTTTTCTAATTGTAGATATTTGAAAAATAAATTAAATAGAGTACAAAAGACCATCTCTCCAACAAAGATGGTTTTGTCTCCAGGTTATGTTTCCCTAAATAATGATACTGCATGTGCTTGGTTAAGTTTTTACTATTGGAAAATTAGGAGGTACAAATAATAACAGCAAGACATTGGCTAGTTAGCAACAGTCATTGCAAGATGCTTCACAAAACCAAAAATAAGGCAAGTATTATCAACAGCAGCTCCCATATGGCAGACTACAAAGTCAAGGCTTTATTTCCAAACTGGTCTCTAAGAAGGCTTCAAATGTTAACTTGTTAACAAGATACGGCTTGATCCAAAGCCCTCTTAAATTGATGGTGGCTGGTAAACACAAATCACAGAACCCACAAGCAACCTTCCCGCTGAGTTCAAGGGGCTTTGGAAGCAGGCTCTTAACACCCTAAATGATCAGAAATGAAACGACCAATTCACTGTACATGAAAATTGCACCATGTCATTTCTAAAATGATATGGAAAAAAGTTGCGAGTTCTTTTTCAAATGAAGTTGCAATAATTCAGTGGGTTATTTTTAGTTGGAAATAAAATATTCACGCAAAAAGATTTTATTTTTAAATATGGTAATTTACAAAAATACATTCAGTACAGAAAACATCAGATGACACTGCTAGTTTGCAGGATAAATATTGTGTTACAAAAACTAATAAATCACACCATGTGTATGGCACCATATGCCATGCACTTAATTGAATTTTTTTAATAAATAAAAGCCCTAAACACTCACTATTTTCTGTAAGGTTGCTATTATGTTAAGTAGAATAGTGAATTTCTTGTATAAATAATCTTTTCAATAGATACATTCTCAAAAATGAACCACTTATCTATGTAGAGATATTGCACTTCAGACTCATTCACATGTAACTTAGACTAGCATTCCTCATAACAAATTAGAATAAAAATAAGATATAAATACAGTGTTTTCCTCAAAATGAAACGTACAGTACCTTTTTCATACGGTAACTTTGGTTGCTGTCAATTTACAAAGAAAGAATAGAGAGAGCTTTCTGAGAATAGGGTAGAAGGCATGGCCACAAAACTAAATTTATCTGAAACGATAGTAAAGGGAGTAATAATTTTACCCTTGCTGTGAGAAATACAGAAAAGCTGAGCATCCCTTTTATGCCTTATTATTGCAAGTGTGACATTTTGTTGAGATTACAGGGACGAGCAGCCTAGAGGACGAGGGCGTTCTTCGTTTCCCTTCGGATGGGGGAGGTTTGCGTGTGTTGCGTTCCTTTGGTAGGCAACGTTGGACAGGGTCAGCTCTTGCTCTCGGCTCCCCCCGTCTTCCAGCCATGCCCCTCTGCTCCGCAGAGAAGCCGGCGTGGTCCATGGGGGGCGTTAGCCCCTTGCAGGGACGTCCCGAGCACCTCGCGGCGGGAGAGGAGCCTGGCAGCGCGGGCTGCCGAGGCGCTGGGCATGGCGCTGCAGCAGCTCCTCGCGTACCATGTCGCCTCGCTCTCTCCTGAGAAAGCCCTTTCACGCGCAAGACGGCAGGTGTGCTGGGCCCAGCTTTTCGGTGTCTTGCGCCTTACGTTGTCGTTTCCTCCTGGGTAGGGTGGGCTGGGATTTGGCATGGGTTTTGCTTGTGTTACGCCAGTACAAGTAGCTTTGTAAGTGCAACCTTCATGGCAGAAAGAAATCAGGCTGTTGTCCTCAGCGGGACTTGTGCAGACTTGGCATTTCTCAAGAGGTGATAATGCACCAAAGCTGAGCCGTCTGTTGGTTTTGAGAGATGCTTTCAGCCCTCAGATCCCACTAAAGCAGGACTGGTTGGATCCGTTGTAGGGGACCTCAGTACTGCACCGTTGAGTTCCCCGTCGGTAATGGAGGCGTGCACACGCACAAACACAGGGCCAGCACCTGGCTACATCTTGTTTGCAGTTACCGAGGAGCCGCTGTGCTCGCTGACCAGATTGTGCTTGTGTTCACGTGCAAGTCTGCTCTCACATTTAATAAGGCTGCATTAAGTGCCCAACAAGTGAGTAAACCAGCTGTGGTGCACGTTTCGAGAGACCACATACCAAGATCTAAAAGGAGAGAAAGCGAATGAAGTGCACTCTCAGCCTTGCTGTGAATCTCTTTTCTCCACGTTTTCTATGCTCAGCATTACTGAGATGCTATTTTTGAGTGTGAAGGAAGAGAAGTTAAGCTACTTTAAATAAGATAAATACTTAAAAAGCTCAGTCCAAGCTGGTCAATGTTTTTACCGTTGTTGGGTATTTAATGCGTTTCCTGCACAAATAAGTCTTTTAACAACTAAAAATGTCCAATCTGCAATAGGATGGCATAATCTGCCAGGAGAAAGTCTTAAGATTGAGTTTTTATATATACGATCCCTAAAGGCTGGAACATGTGGTGTGACTGAGTATCTTTATTGATTAAGAAGGGATCTGAAGGCTCTAATCACTCCAAACCTCACAGGACCAGGTTCAGTGGGAGCGCTGTATCAGGCAGGATTTGGCCTCTCACTTGAAAGTCTTTAGACACCATAATTGGAAATAGCTGGGAAAATATGTTGCTTTTGTTCTTGGCTCTAGAAACCTCCCTTCCTCCCTCAAGCTCCCCTATCTTGGTCTCAATCTTAGATAACTAACAACTTAAAACGTATAAATATTGACAGCTTGCAGAATTGCTTTCCATGCCAAGGCTATAACAGGTAAAACATCAGTCCTTGAGCCTTGTCCAATGAGCCAAAAAGGTCTTGTCACAGTTCCAGTGTCTTATAGACTGCCTGATGCAAAAAGCTCTTGACAGCAGTCTGTGTGTGGCAATATTTCATGTCAGAAACAACATCATTTTCAACAAGTGCACATAACAGAATTGGCACCTTCCACAGTACATAAAAGCATCTGTTTGCTCTGTCAATAATGAACTACGTGGTCAAATAAGATTTTGTTGTTGTAGTTTTAGTTTTTGGTCTTTTAAATGGTTGAAATTAAACACTGTTGTGGCTTCCCCCCTCTAATGACTCTAGACTGCACTGGTGCTTGAATCCAAAACACTGGAGTGCGACTGAACTCTGAAGCATATTCAAAATGCTGTGTAAGAGACAGAGGCACCTTGCCTTCTCACTTTTGCTTCTAAAATCAAGTGCTCCCATTCCCTTCTAACAGTCTGATCTGCCCTCAGTCTCCTCGGGAAATGAAATCAAATGACCACTCTTTAAAACAGCCATTTCAGCAAATTACATCCTGAAGATGTAACCACTTGAAAAGAAATTGCACCCAGAAACTCCAACAGTTGCCCTTTTCATGGTGATATTTTTATAGGCTTTCCATTCTTATCATACTGGTAAACAAGCATTTTGATGCAATGAGAATTGGCAGGGGAAATCCAAGGGCTGCTTGTTATTGAAAAATTATGGTTTGTATAGAATTGCACAGGTTGCTTTTGACACTTAAAGAAGGCCTTCAGTGTGGCAGCTGCCATTGTGCGAAATCTTTTGCTAATAAAACAGTAGAGGAAGAAATTAATTGCAGTGTTCAGCAATGCTAGCATATTGGCAATGTCCGACACAATATGTACCACCCAGCTGTTGTTTATAGGCGATACGTAGAGGTGATACAATATCATGATTATTCTTGGTGCCCAAAGTATGGCAAAAATAGAAGTTATAGTAAACAAAATGGCTGTTGTTTTCCCTGTGGAGTACCCTCGCAGTCGGAAATTGCTCTTTCGCCGCAGCTTGTACACGATGATAGAATTCAGAATGAAGAAGATGGAGCAGGGCACTAAGTACACCGTAAAGCAGTGGATCCAGATGAGGACATGATGCATTGATGTGCTTATGTAGTCTTCAATCCAAATATTGGGCCACCAGTAGTACGGAATGCTGGTCAAAAAGCAGGTGATGTAGACGCTTACAATGACCTTTCGAGTACGAGCAGGATAGGAGACTGTGTGATACTTCAGCGGATGGCACACAGCTATATACCTATCAATCGTTAGTGGAACAGTAATCCAAATGGAGGTGTGGATGGAAGAAAATTCCAAGACCTCGATTATTTTGTCCAGTACCTGAGGCATCTGTTTATTTAAGATAAAGTCTTCCATGAGAAAGTCAACAAAGACAATGAAGAACAGAACCAGGATGTCAGCAGCAGCTAGAGCTAGAAGATAGTTATAGGAGGACTTCTGCCTGCGAGCAACGAGTTGGGAAAGGATGATGACTGTCAAGATGTTTGCTGTGGAGACAGAAACACACAGGTCGTTAAGATGTAACGTCAGCTTTGTCTGAGCATTTGTTTGGAGCAGCAGCTCTTCTTCAAGCACTTGGCAACATGATTTCCTCTAATAGAGTACGAGAAACCAAAAGGGAAACACTGAAGCTGGGTCCCTCCAAGAAGCTCTTGTCCTGAGAGGAGCATATGGCCCTGATCCTACCTATGGGATACGCGGTCACCCAGGGCCTCCATGCACTAGAGCTGGGGAAAGAGAGGAAGTCAGGACCTCAAATCCAGACCTGTTGGGGTTACATGGTTTCTGGCAGCCATTTGCCATCTCCCTGGAGCAGATGTACAGGAAGAGCTACCGGCCTCAGTTTTGGTGGGAAATGGCCTGATTTTCATGTGTAATGTATACTTTTAATATGAAAAAATTAAATTTGAGAAAAATTGAATACCTCCCACACCCCCCACCTTCTTATTTTCCTCTTTCCTTTTTTCACTTTTTTTTCTCAGTGACAAATGAGAGAGAAGGGTGGGATGGGATTTGGAGAGAGACATTTTGTTCCTTGTCCCAGCTTATGATGCCTACGTGTTTTAATTTTGAACTCCAGCTAAAAACAGCCGAAATCAAAGTGGCCTGGATGAGGTAATTTTCTCTTTACTAAGTGGGAACCCAGTCCAGAGAAGGACTTCCTGGGAACCAACTGTTCTCGGCTCTTACTGAGAACCTGCTCTACTTCTTTACTCTACTTCTACTATTCTACTTCTTGGCACTCTGTATGGTTTCCAGATCTGCCCAGAACGAGGCTCCTGTAATTAGTCCTGCCTGTTCAACCTGCACTCCTCTTTATGGACACTGGAGAACTGTCTCTATTCTCGCCACTAGAACCACCTGCTCCATGAAGAACTGCTTGCTTATGCAGGGCTGCTCTTTAGAAGCAAGTCCTTCTCCAACTGTAAGGGATTTTTCCTCTGGAGTGCTGCTGGCAAGCCTTTAAGGAAATGTGGCTGGTCAAATTAGACATGATGGATGTTTTGATTCAGCAAAACTGTAAACATTCATGAATTTCCTGAAAACCCTTTTGCTTGCAAATCTGGACATGGGTACAGACCCATCACCTAAACTGTGCCTAAAAGTGTTGCATCGCATTTCAATAATATGTGGTAAATGGCTAAAGTATCTCGTCCCTGCTATTCTCACAGTCCGTTCTGTTTTGGTCTTCTAAAGCTGTGATTCAACTTAAGGATTCGCGTTGCTGGCTGGTTGAATCAGGGCTCTAAAGGATGCTGTATAAGGGCTCAGTCCTGCACCCCCCAGCCAGAGAGAGTTCTCTGCAGTGGCTAAGAACAGCCCTTGCAGTCCTCAAGAGTCTTCCCGGAAGACTAAGGTGTAGCCAAACTTTACTTGTTCTACAACTTACCATATAGCCTTAACTCAGGAAAAAATCCTACTGTTCCTACTATAAGTATGGCTGGAATAAGACAGACCAGATTGTTCCCATCAGAAGTTTAAAACAGTTGGCTAGAATACCTGAAGTAGCAATTAAAAATCAGAGATCTGATTTACTGTATAACAGACTGTCAAATATTTATATTTGACACTTCTTGTGTTCTATAAATCACCTCTTCTGTGCATCCGCTGCTTCAAATGTTTCTGCAAGCTTTGATGGGATTTCCCAAAACAAATCAAAAATAATTGTAAGGATTCTTTTAAATTAGAGATAGAGGACACTAAGGTAATGATGACCTAGGACATACACCCTACCACTGCAAATGTGTATTGTTAACTTGGTACTGGAGAAAATCTCCTTGTTCATAAATGCCTTTCAAGCCTGCTTTCTGGGAGCAGAATTTCTGCTGTCAGGGAAATGAACTGCAGCAGAATGACTGGTGTTGAGTAATAGCCGTCATAAGTGTCACCTATTTTTGTATTAACCGAATTTATTAATTTTGTATCTTGGAAGAAAACTAAACTGAACATGACAATCAACTTGCTGAATCCTCCTATATATAGAAAAGTATATTCTTTCCAACAGTATTGTCTCAAATCACCTTTAGAGGAATTTTCCTGATTCTGCCCTCTGTTAACATGAGTGCAATTGCATCGATTTCAGCTTAGAGGGGACCTGGAGGTGATATACTCAGAAGTGCTGTGTCATTTTTCACTTACTTGCTTACGAAATGCCTCTGTTGTGCCTGCTGAAGAGCCCTAGAGGTACTGTGAGTGATGTACTGTCAAGGAAATCCTTGAGTTGAAACATTTAACACAACTGTGCAGTCACTGTTAGTTTTGGCCAGCCAGGCTGAATGGCTTGGCTTGCCGCGTGTTGGATGTGACCCACGGCGTTCATCTTCTCTTTAAATCCTTTGGATTTGATTCGCTCCAGCAGCAACAGTTGGGGCAAGTATGCAGTGAGGGGGACTGTCTGGGGATGTTGGCCCCTGCTGGAAATTTTGGCCTCAATTCCAGGGGAACTTTAATGGAGATGATAAATCTGAAACACACCCAGGCACACCAGCAGCTACACCCTACACGTTCTCCATCCCTTTTGCTCATTCTGAGGGTCCCACTGTTTGGTTCAAAATCCCCCCTACTTTTTGCCTAAAGGAGCAGACTTACAAGCAGTCCCTTTCTCTGTACTGCCCTCCCCCCTTTCTCAGGGTTCCTAGCAAGAGCAGTAACAGCATCTATTGAAGTGCAAGTTATTCGTCTAATGCCAGCTAGCTTTGCTTGGTGAGCTGGATTAGAAAATTGATCTGACAAAGTACATGCAAGCTCTATCCAATTTTTCTGCAAGGGTTACAGTTATCTTGTATTGGAAATGCCTTCCCTGGAATCACTTTAGTGCTTTTGCTGGCTGAATGATATGAAATATAGTAATATCATTTACTTAGTGAAAACAGATACATACTGGCGTGCAGCAGAAAGCTGCCAGTATGACAGTATCTTAGCGCAAGAGTTTGTGAATATTTTTCCTGCAGCAGGCTGTACAGGCAGAGTAAAGAGGAGCTATGGAGAAGTCTCAGTCTTTCACCCATTTCCTAGCTAGCGTTAAGTTACTCCTTGGTGTGTTCCCAGACAATGTCTAATGCTCAGTGAAATGGGACGTGGGTGGGAAGGCTTTTCCACGTGAGCCTCTGTGTCCTTGTGCCATCGTGATGGTGACTCCTAGATGCCTAGTCCTAGGGCCTGAAGAGCTCTCCTGTGGGCAAAAACGACCTACTGCAGGGGAAGGGGGAAGGAAAAGCAGTTAAGTCAGAGACCATGTTTTAATGTTTTCTAGCCTGTTTTTTGCACTAATATTGTAGTCCAGGCAGGGAATATGGCAAGGATGATGATGGAGATATAAAAATATCTGTCTCTACTATAATGTATGTGCAGCTACAACTGCTGGACAGATTAGTGCCCCTAGATTGCCTGTTTCTTGCTGTGTTTTTTCTAGTACAGATCTAGTTAAGATCATTTGAATTTGAGAAAGATTGATCTCTGTGTTGGGAGTGGATTAGGGGATGACAAGACGGGAATTTATGCCAGCATTGCTTGCTGCAGTGCAGTATTCTGAATTTATAAATATCTAGTTGAGAACCAGGGCTTGATTAGGGACTAGCTGGCTGAAGCCTCAAGAGATGCTACTGGCAGATTAGATGAAACGATTGTAAGAAAAGGCAGACTCTCAGTTTTTCCCCTTCACTCATGAGGTTCTGTTGCCTTTGAGACGCACTATCTGAAAGTCTCTCTTATCCAAATACCGCTGGTCTCCAGGAGAACTTTTTTCCGTATTGGGCATTTATTCTTTCAGCTCCAGGCCTTTACTTCATTCACTGTGGAGCTGCAGCTGAGTAAGGCGCCCTGCTAACTCATCCAGGCTTTGCCATGGGAGACTACTATATCTCTCCTTTGACATCCCCTGACTTTATCAGCTCCTGGATACAGACTGCAGCACTGAAATTCATGTGTTTGGAGGTCTTAGGTATCTGAAGAGGGATCATCCTTTAGTAGTGTTGTTGGTTCTGAGGTGGACTTGGTTTTGCTTCCTGTACCAAGGCCATAACAGCTTGCTGGATCTCCTGCAGAGCCTGGGCAGCTGGCATGAGACCTCAGTGACAGCTCCAGAAGACAGGAGATGGGAGCCTGATGGGGCTCAGAAGCTATGCGCAATTTCCTCAAAAAGGGCTGTGCCCTCTTCATCCCTGCAAGCTTAACAGTGCACCGGGCCTCAGGAAAAAGGGAGAATGCACCGGGGGGAGCGCAGGCAAATAGACCCTGTACCCTGGCAAAGGGCAATGAAATGTTCTTCCCTTTTGCCTTCAAGAATGTCCTCTGTGCCTCCCCAAAACAGTGCCTGTGACCTAAAGGCACAATTTATTCCCCAGCACCTTGTTTCTTGGATTACAGTCATAGCTCAAATAGTATCTAACTATGGCCTTTGTGCAGATTTACAGAACTCCTTCCGTTGCCTATTATCACTGTATGTGAGCTTAAGCAGGAGCAATTGTATCACTCTAAACAAGAAGTAGCCTTTTTTTTTGAGAGAGAGAAAGCATTTCGCATGTACACTGCCTACTCTGCAGTGAAATTGCCTTTATAATATAAGTGGTAGTGCTGCTGTGTTGTGAATAAGGCACACTGTGTGGTTCAGTAATTCAGTATCATAAACTAGCTAAATGAAGTAGCCACGAGCGTCGCTTACTGAGTGTGATAAACATTAGGTCACTGAATATAATGGACACCTTTTACCAAATACAGTTGTTGCTAGGATCCCTAAGAACTATTGTGCAATGCATAAAACTACTTTACAGGCCATGCATTAGTCACCTGATTGTAACTTAGTAGAGAGATTGTTTACGAACGTGAACTTTTAAATTGCTTTAAAAATACTTTAGATATGGCCTCCATAGATCTAGAAATCCTGCAACTGTGAGTGCAATACACTAAAAATATATGCTAAAAAAGGGATGTTGGGGCTTGATGGGAATAGATGATTTCCTCTAAACTAGCAGGCAATGTTAAAATGTAAACATGTACCATGTTCAGCAGTCAAATCTGACTGTGGTTACTAATACAACCATTTGCCAGTAGTTACCAGATTTGAGATCACCATGGCTTTTATGCTTTGTGTGGGAGCTCTCTGGAGAAACTGATGACAATTAGTGATTTCTCATGGATGCTTCATAATATAAAACATTTTGCAAAACAAATGCTGTGGCAAAGTAAACAGCTGTTTATTAATGATGTTGGTTAGAGCAGGTTAGGTGGTCTTTTAAAATGACACATGGATCCCATTTGGCGTTAAAGGCAGGGCAGTTCCATTTTCTCTTACAGCCAGTATAGGTCAAACTCAACACAGCAGCAAACGGGAACGACCTCTGTGAGCACTTTGCCTGTTTGTGGTAAATGTAATTTGTTCTTCTCTCATTATAATAGTTTGAGATCCTTTCTTAAACACTTGCCCAGTGTAAAGAGATACTTTGCAGAATATAATTAGAGGAATACAAGTGTTCCCTCTTCTGGGAGTTCCTATGAGAATTGATTTAAAGACAGCTTTATTTGTTGCTCAGTTCTCTGAGCACCACCGAAGGGCATGCACCCGCTCACCCTCGAGAGGGAAGAGCAGTCGACCCGCCCTGCTGGCGGGCAGCACGGCATCTCCCAGCTCACCCATCGCCTCTCGGTGCGCAAAGCAGCCCAGAGCCTGAGCCGGGCCTCGGTGATGCAGAGGTCTAAGCCAAGAAAACGAGCAGCACAAAAGCTGTAGCATGACTGGATGCAGGGCCGCAACTAGAGGAGGTTTCACACCTTGTAAACAGGCTCTTGTGTGATTTGCACTTTGAAATCCCACATGCGCTGACGGGCCACGTGCAGTCTGAGGGTAAAAGGGAAACAGGAGGTAGAGAATTATTACACTCCTGCTCTGCTGCCCAGGACAACCCAAATTCCCCTTTACACGTGGGACACTGTGTTTGTAACTGTTTGCCACGGAAAATGCAGCACAAGCCTGCACTCAGAAGTTACAGGTGAATTGATGAATCGGTGTCACAGGCTGGAGCCTGACAATGAAATCTGGCCTCCAGGGTCATTTTTCTCATTGACAGCAGTTATTAGCGGAGGCACCTCTGGAAGAACGTTGTGAATGGTGTACTCTTCTCAACGGCTGGTACTGGCCATAATTGGGTCACTGAAGCCAGGGGAAGATTTTAACCAAGCCAAAAGCACTTCCTCTGCTGTTCAAGGACACAGACACAGTAATGGTGTGGAGAAACCACCGATGGCCAGTATTCATTTTCTGCCTTGCCAACCACTCAAGGCTGTTAAGTGCAGTAACTTGTCTGGCAGACAGGTGTAATTACATTGCACTTGCTTTTGGTTTTCCTAGACAGTTGGAGTAGGCTTTTTTTCATAGTCTTCATAAAATACGGCTATTTTTGCAATAAGAAAACTGCCCAGAAGGAACACTAGACTAAGACCGAGCGGAGGGCCCACTCCATACCGACTGGTGGACACACATATGACTGTAATAGGGATCTGATTCTCCTCTCACTGTCATCCCCCTCCTCACCTGTGTGAGGGGTCTGCCTTTAATTCATTTGACCTCATGTGAGCCAGAACATGACTTCCATGCCATGTCTTTCACTGCAGCCTCCAAAGCAGCACTGTAAGCCCTTCCCAAGCAGGTACAATCTTGCCAAGGCTCTTTTTTGGGAATACTCCTTCCCTTTTCTCTGTGTTTACAGATAGCTGCAGTGACACAGCTGTAAGGTTCCAGAAAAAATACAGAAGAGGGCACCAATAAGGCTGTTCTCTTCATTTTTAGAAACAATAAGCACAATTCTAGCACACCTTACCACACCACAAAGTATATTTGTATATTTTGTTTCAAAGGACTGGCTTTTAAGGCAGTCTTCAAGCACATACAAAACGTGGACAGAAATAAGCCTCAGAGGAGTTACGTCCCTGTGCGTTTTTATAGAAGTCCGATCAATACTGAGACATGATAGACAAGGATACACCCCTTCTTCACTGAGGCCTGCAATGAAGAAAGCCTCTAAAGATTTGTGGACATGCCTCCCCATGCGGCCTTTCTTAGAGGCACCTATACAAGGATAAAAATGACTAAAACCTACATCTCAAAACCTAGCCTCACATCTTGCTACCAGAGCAGTAAAGTCTTCTATTGGAAATCAGTGTTGGGAGGAAAAAAAAAAATCTGCAAAATAATGCAGAAATCAAAAAGGGGATTTTATCATTCATCCAACATATCTGGACAGACTGAGATTTTCAAGGCGATCTAGGTGTCTCATTCGGCAGGTGTCTGTAGAGAGTGGTGGTCAGCAAAGTTTAAGAGCTTGTTTAAGAGCAAAACCATTCTTCCCTTTTAACGCTGAAGGTCAAAGCACTGAGGTGAGTGCTGAAGGTGTTTGACAGGATGGCTAGGAGGGAGGCAGGACGTGATTTCATAAGGGCAGTAGCATGAATCCTTTACCAAATATGACTAAATAAGAGGATTTTTTTTTTGCCTTTGATTGTGGATTTGCTAAACAAAGTCTTATATCTCCCTAAAGCATTAGCTAATACTGTAGGAGTTCATGCTTGCAAATCCCATGGCCAAGCTTTCTCATAAGAGGATGCCAATTTTACATAATAAGGAGCGAATTACAAACTATGTAAAACCATCAGGATTTGGCTTTTTTCCCCCACTAAGAATATCCACACTAGATATCTGTCATTCTTCAGTGTGGCAGTCTGGATATTGAATGAAACACACCTGGCATCAACAAATGTTTTTGAAACATCCTGGTCTGAAGTAACTGATTGACAAGCAATTTGACTTGAAACCAAAAGCAACCTCTAGCGGAATGATCCACGCAGCCCATGCACCATACGACTGTAATGATGGTGAAGGTAAATGAGCGTATGTCCTAGGGACTCTGTGTTTCCGATGCTGCAAAAGAACAATTTCAGTGAAGCAAATGTGTTCAGCGTGTTAACAGGGAGGCTTATTTTCCATAGATAAAGGGATAAAACTCCTCCTGGTCCTCTTCTGTACTGCGAATCCTGGTCCTGCTTGATTGCCTCTACTTCATTCCCTCCTCCTTCCTTTGCACAGCCAAATTGCCATCCTGGGAGGCAACCCAGCAGAATTACAATCTCCTCCGGCCCAGTCTCCCCCAGAAACGGCACAGACAGTGCTCCACACTTTCGGTTTTAGGATCCTTACACATGTATGTATCTTTGCAGAATGAAAGTGGAATTGTGTGCAAGGTCTCCTGTACTCAAGGGGTTAATTGTGGCTTTGCTTCTCTTTCTTGTGTCTCAAAGTTAGTGGGAAAAGAGATTAAGGGCTAGGAAAGACCACCTGAAACAGAAGGCAAAAGCTTTAGTGGCCAGGGATTGTTTTGCACCTGGGCATTTGACAGCAGAGAGAGCATCAGGTCCGGAAATCTCCCCATTTTGTTTGTTTGCCTGACAGTAAATTGTTTTGATGTATGCGGATGAAGACATACTCCTGCCGGCTTCTTTGTGCTGAGTCACCCCTGTTTTACTGGGGGGAGCAGAAAGAGAGAAGAGAACTGAGTAATGGGATGGATGAAGAACAGCAGGATATTAGACTGCCTAGTGCTTTTGAATGGCCTGACTTCTTAACAGCTCCTGGGGGCTCTGCATTTCCCACCTACGGTGAAAACTGACTGTGCTCTCTCTTTTGTATCATTGTCATTTCACAGAAAAAATCTCCTTTGGAGCTTTTCCTTCCCAATCCATTTTAGCAGCCTGCCACGCAAGGTTGTGTACTTCATAGTCTATTGAACCTTCCAAATATTGCACCTCGTTATCATTACAGCCCTGCCAGTGTTGTTTCCTACTGCTCTAGCAGAACCAAACCAAAGTTAGCACTTGTGCTCTGTAGTGGCATTCATAGATGTGCAATCAAGTCCTCTTCTGCATTAGCATGGGTTCTGCCAGACGCTTCCTTTCAGGCTTTATGGACACGTTCTCCAGACACACTGACCAAACTAAACGGCTCACATATGCATGCCTCGCTGTCGCTGTTTCTGTGCAGGAACATTGTAATGAATCTATCATTTTTCACGATGCTTCTTCTTTCCTTAAAGAAAAAGCATTTACTTTACAATAGGAAGTGACTCATTTTAAGCATGTTAGCAGCAGTTTTTGTTCCCCTCTGTCCACTAGTGCTACTGCAATGTGCTGCAGTGCCCTTCAGTAGCTCTGTTAGCTGAGCTAGTCATCTGCCTGTTCTACTCTTACGCGAGTCACAAGTTCTGCCAAATTATTTGTCCTCCTCTAAGCAGGTTGCAATGTACTGGTTGTGGGTCCAGTTCATATTTTGTAAAGAAAGCATGGTCTTTGAATAAAATGGGGGCTGAATCAAGCCTCAGGAGAGTTCAGAGCTTCTTTATTGTGTGAACTTTATCTAATGAACAAGAGCCCAAGTATGCTGTTTTTTCAAGGTTATAACTCTGCGTGTAACAATTCTCCCGCTTATATTTTCAGAATTTCCTTCAGTTCTTCTATTGTTCAGGTGTGTTGTTAGGAGAAAGGCTACAGTATGATTTATTCAGGTGTTGGAAATACTCTCTTTAATCAGAAACCTATTTGGTGGTTGGAGAGGAATATGGTAGGCAGTAGATGGTAGGAATTCAAAATGGGTCAGACACACTTCTGAATAAGTGTGCAATATATACACCTACCTATTGCGTGCTTTGGTATTTACTGGGTATTACTTGCCATGTGAGTCATCAACAAAAATTGCGTCCCTCTCGTCACACTAACGAGGTCCTGCCTGTAAGCAGAGAGATGGCAAAGTAGAGAGATGGCAAAGACACTAAAGCTCTTCAGGTCTTGTTCCCCCTAGGCCACCAGAGAGCACAGGGAAGAGAGCTGGGCTGTGAACACACTTGTTCCTTGTACGCTGCTACTGCTCTCCACCCCCTTTTCCTTTACTTACAAGTTCACATCATCTTTCTTGCCCTTAGCCTCACCATCTGGTAAAGCTTTGCCACTGTTGACTTCCTATGCATTCTCTTCTGCCAGTAGTAACAGCCTTGAGGGGCTACTCAAATACTTCTCCTACAACCACCTCCATCACCTCTCCTTGCTGCTGTCTTCTTTACAAATTGTCCGTTCTCTCTTCCATTGTCCTCTTTGCTTCCTTCTCCTTCAAATTCTCCTAGAAATTAGCCAGCTAATAATGACCCGGACAATACCCACATATCTTTTGCATGTATTTGTGCAACGTATGTAAAAACTGTGTACAGACTGCAATCCTCTTCCCACACGTACTTATGGTGTTGTCCTCTTAGATCAGGGTCGCTCAGCCTGCAGCCCACTGGCAGTACGTGCTTTGCCAGGACAATTACCCCAGCTTGCAGACCTCTCTGAATAGCTCACTTTTTCCTAAGAAGCGCACAGGGAGAAGGCTGCAGGCTGCATGAATTGTTCTGGCAGTGGCAGAAGCCAGCTCCCAGCTGCCATCTTTCTTGAGGAAGGAAGACCACCTTGTTCTCCACCATTTCATTCTGCCTGTGACTGCATGGCAGCATAGTGAAGTGTTATACACCTGGTTTGCTGTGCGAGGGCAGCCAGTCTGTCATTTGATAGGGAAAGGCCCATACTGTGTAAGCCTCCCTTAAGAGTAAAAAGAAGCATGAGGCCTACTGCGTGTAAAAGGTTAGGCATCCTGCTGAGCTTACACGCTCTTCTAGGCAGGGACCGTGGCTTCCTTCTCTCTGCACGAAGCCCACTGGCCGTACTCTGCATATTGCTGGGGTTTGACATGGCTTGTCCCCATCTCCGTGACACCTTGTTCAGCAGTAGGTGTGACACAAAAGCTACCTGTTCACACCCTCCACTGGAAGCACCCCATCTGCCAAGTGTCTCCAAGCTGCTTTCCCAAGCCTGCAGAGTACTGAATCTGCATTTAAATCTTTGTTTCTTTTTTCATTTTTAAGCAGAAGTCCAAAACAGGAATAGGAAAAAGCAAACTTGTGGACTGGCTCTCAAAACAGGCAGTATGGAGTAGCATTTCCCTGGGGCATCTGTGTGAGTCTTATCTGCTAGAGGTCTGCAGGGGTGTTGGGTACGTGCCTTTGCTTTATGTTACTGGTATGCGGTCATCCCTGAAGCTGAGACGCTTCCTAGGCTGCCTGAGGAGCAAAGTGAAACCAGAGATCACGCAAATAAGAAAGCCAGATTTTACCTAGTTTCTTAGCACTGTCAGTATGAGGAGGCCCCTGCAAGCATGGACCAGGTCAGACCCAGGCCTAGGAAACGCTGCCGCTTTTGTCCTTTTAGCAGCAGTGCGCTATACCCCCAAAGGGGGAAGGTGATTGTACGCAAGGCAATTCTGCTGCTGCTGCATCTTCTGATGAGGCAGGAATCAGGGTCAAAGCCAGATTTCTGCAGTGAGCGCTACCGCTTCTGTGCCTGACCTTCCTGGCTGTGTTCAGCGGCACTGCCATAGCAAGAGCTCTTTGGTGCAGCTGCTTGCGCAGCTCTCACTGAAAAAGAAATGGACTGAGAGTTGATAACTTGGGAGCCTTGTTGCTCTTTGCTTCCTCACCCTACCAGCCCCCTCTTTG